ATACTAACAGATGTAAATGATATAAAAAAGTATTGTTATCAGAAACCAGATATCCGAATAGGTTGGATATCGGAAACATACCGATATTAGAAACATGCGTTCTCATCGGAAACACCTGTTTTTATGATAAAGTAGTGATACGCAGGTGAGCTGATGGATGTTAACCGTTTTGTTCTTAGCCCGAGACTGAGGCAGGAAAAGAGGAAAGTTTCAAAGTAGAAGAAAAATAAACATTCGAGGACACGTCTCTAAGACAGCTCTTTAGCCTCTAACACGTCTCTAACACAGCTGTGTTAGAGACGTGTCCTCGAATGTAATTTTTCTTCTGCTTTGAAAATTTCCTCTTTTCCCGCCTCAGTCTCGGGCGAAAAACAAAATGGTAAACCTGTTTTTATCTTTGTTCAAAACAACGCGACAACACAAGGACGAAGTGCAGACGAAACAGACGACGGCGCTGATTATCAACCTAAGGTTCATTTCCACCGCTATCAGTCTATATACACCTGAGCAACAGCCAATTAAACAGAGTGCGAGAGAAAATACACATAAATACTTGCAGTATCAACATATATTAGTTAGACTATCCAATCCTGCGTCATAATCGGTCCCTAACATGCACCAGTACGGAAACAAATTCCTTTTTCGGAAAGACCACGTACGCCGTGCTGAAAAATTTTCTTTTAGTTTGTTTATTTCGTAAGCTTATATTATCTCTCGAGTTTTTCACCTTTCATTTTGAGTATTTTTCTTGGTAGTCAGGGATACATCCGCAGTCACATCAGTGAATTCCCAGATTACCAGAGATTTGCTTTGTTTCATTATAAAGATGTTACATTACATCCGATGAAATAATGTTTTTCAATTACTGGTGCACGTTAGGGAATGACTACGACACAGCACTACACATTCTAACTAATAAAATGCTGATACTGTTTGTATTTTCGTTTTTTTTTTATTTTGTTCTCGTCTCGTTGCGCTGTTTTAAACCAAAATGGTTATCAACCAACTAGCCTAAACATACCTTTTAACATGTTTTAATATTGATACATTATTGGGATGATCTTGTAGACTTTTACTACTACTCAACAGCCATTTTTCGTGGATCTCTAAAAAAACGTGTAAGAGGTTTTTTTTCCCTTTAAAGCAACAATCGTTTTGTAAGCGAAACAGTGCTAGGCAATTGAACTTATGGGTTGACACTGTCAAGCGTGATGGTGCCGCTCCCCGAGCAGAATTTTTTTTGAGATGTGAATATTGAAAATACAATAAAAAAGATTGAAAATGGTAATAGTTTGGAGAACGTCGCATATATGAAAGTTTAAGCACTTCTGTTTGGCACGGAGCCAAAGACGCTTACATAACAAGCCATCCTGTCAGTGCAATGAGGTGTCGCCGTTATGTATGGGTTCCTAAATTAAAGGGACTTTGAAATTCCTACACACTTTCTGTGCACCAGGCTCCATTATGTGCACGCTGGATTGGCGGACCTTAACCCCTGTGACAATGCCAGCACCGCGCGTGGTTGCGCACAAAGGCCTCTTACACCGTTACTGAGATTTTTTATATCATTTAGCGTATTTAAGGACTGCAGTATAGTCTACGTTTTGGGGCTCCTTAGCTTAAATATGTGTCACGGCTGGACAAGTGTTAGTGCAGTGGGAGCGGCTACTGAATCTCTCGTATTCGCTGCAGCCTGTTTGTAAACCAAAAAAGAATATGGCAACATTTGCTACTTACGTTTTGTCGTAATATTCAACGCACTGTGAAACATGCCTTGAAACAGGCATGTTTCACAGTCGACCGCTCCAAAAGATTCAATCTTTAAAGCTTCTTTTTTTCACCCCTCGCTTTCGTTGAAACTTTACGGCTCCTACTTTTGAGATATAGAGCTTACGGTTGTAGCCTTTGTCGCCGTTCATGTGGATGTCCAAGATTACATAGTCGCAGACGTTTGGCGGAGGTAGAGTTTGGCCAGCAATTTCGGCGTATTCCGTGTCACTGCCGGACATGAGATTGGGTGACATCATCTGGCATAACAGTGGCAACGGTGCTGCAATAAATGAGTGGTCTCGCTGAAAAACTGTGTCATTAACTCGTGCGCTTTCGCAGTGAAATATGTACATGCTCGTAATTTCACCTACAAGTTTAGCATTACACAATAGAAAATATATTTACTAATAAAGTATATGCATTCTCAATGCACATTTTATTACAATTACAGTTTGCACGATTTTATTGTTTTGTTTACTGTGAAAGTTACTTGGTTATGATAGACCACATTCCTTGCACTTTGACAAGTAATGTTCGCTTTGTGGAAAAACTAAGTATTTACTGCAAAATCCCGCAAGGACGCCCTCCCCCGAGTGATCGCCGATCCCGTTTTTCTGGAAAATATCTGTAACATAAAAATACCCAAACATCGCCCACCCCCGATTATCATCGGACGTCAAACTATGTCCGGCGGGAATTCCGCGTTAACGGCGCCATCTGCGGCACCGGTACGCGTCACACCGGCTCCCGTAACACCCGAGTTATTCCTGCGTGTATAGTGCATTGTGAAATACGATTCTACTGAGTCCGCGATCTGGGGTATTTGTTTCGGTGACATGTTAGGTTTTATCACATTCCCGCATTTTTGTCCGCTCTCTGCGAGCGCGATATTGGAATCCGTAACAGGCAAGATTGTAGCGGGTTCGCGCGTGTTTATTGCACGATAAAATATGACTCTGCCGCGTCCGCGATCTGTGGTATCCGTTCCTGGGAGATGCGAGTTCTTGGCGGGCTTCCGCGGGTCCATCGCACCATGAGACGTGAATCTGCCGCATCCGCAACCTGCTGTATCCTTTCCCGTGACACAGGAGTTTGTAGCGAATTCCCGCGTGCTTATCGCATCGTGAAATGCGGATTTGCCCTGTCCGTGATCATCGGTATCAGTTCCCGCTTCATGTTGATTATAGTGGGTGCACCGGTGCCTATGATTAATTTTCGATGACGTTTTGCTGGGGCATCTCCAAAAATAGCCCGCCCAATGTTTTTCACCATTTATCTCTTCATTTTAAGTGAGCGTTCTTACAAAATTTTACGTAGTAATTTATTTAAGTAGAGACTCTTTTGCCGGACCTGACAGTAGTGCTCAAATCGCCATTATAATTAATAAAACAGAAGCAATTCAGCTCATATGTCAGTATTGTATTTTGCTCCGCATTTTTATAATAAATTCACTATCAAACAAACCAAAGAGCCCGTTCGTGGGACTCGAAATGCATACACTGCGAAAAGAATATGCGTGTCGGCTTTTTGTACATGATTAGAAGAAAACATTCTATCTTTCTCTTGTCTGCGTGTTCTATTTGTCTAGTATCACTGGATACGCTCAAACAATGTGTATTTTATTCGTTCCAGAACATAAAACATATATTGCTTTTGTGTTTTTAGCACTAATACCAAGTTGATCACTTCGGCGGTCAATATAAAATGCCACATTTGTAAACTATCCAACTAACTACATTTTATAATTAAATTTAGAAATATTCATTTGTCTTCGTATGACGTATTTTTATAATCGACTTTTAACCTCAACATGAACTGGCTTTGCCATAAAGTTTTGATTAAAGGATAAGTCCCCAATGCACCCTGTGAAGGTGCTTTGACGGTGAAGCTGTGGTATCACCTGCAACGATTGCCCACTGCGCTATAACCCCTTTAATGGCAAACGCCACCAGGTGGTGCTCCAGTCTTTGACGTACCAGAGAACTTCCGGTTTGTAAAAATAATGAACAAAGTCCAACTTAACACCGCTAAGTAAAATGTAGATGAAATGTTTCGCCACCAACACTTCAGGTGAACGCTAAAAGAAGAAAAGAGTCCGGGATCTGTTAAAATGTTTCAAGTGTTCTTGTAAACCGACTTGCCTCCTCCATGATGCAATATTGTACACGACATTTCTCGTTAAATTTCCTAATTTGTTGTCCGTGTAGCAGTCATGCTTTCTAGCACTGGTGACATAAGCAAGCTCGACAGGCTTGCAAAGACGGGGAGGCCGAAAGCAGTGTTGCCAGATCTACTGATTTTGTTCCAGGTCTACTGATTCACTGAAAAAAAAAGAAAATCTACTGACTTTTTTTTTTTTTTTTTACATATTAAAATTTATTATTTTGCCTCTTCAGTTCCCCGGGTCGCCCATCAAAAATAACTCATATTCTCCCCCCCAAAAAAAAATGAAGCATTGGTTAGACGGCCCACAAGCCCGTCCTATTCGTGTGAACTATCTGTCCCCCAGACAACGAGGTTGCCCCCAGAGCTGGTTCGACGGTGACATCCGGGCCATCCAGGCCAGAGCCATGTATGGGGAGAGTTTGGCCAGTCTATGATCTCGCCACCGTAACACCCTCCTCCGGAGTGAACCAATCAGCCCGCGGCGCAGAGTGAGAGGCGTGAGCGCATGCGCGTGAACTCTCGGCTGCTCCCAGCTGAGCGGAGAGGGCCGCCATCTTCATTCATTCTCCCGGCGGAATACATGGGATCGACGACATCCCAATTTCGGTTCTTTACTTTTATTTGGCAGGTTCTGGCAAGAAAATTATATAGTTATCCCTCGGTAACGAATTAGGTTTCTCCACGTTTGAGCGCAAGCTTTGAGCCAAGCGAAAAAGAAATAAGCCCGTAGCAGACGACGCGTAGCCTCAACAGTGCTCCGCGCCGACATCGTTGCGTCGTCTCCTCTTTCTTCCTTCTTTCCCTCTTCCTCCTTCGGCGCTCTCTTGCCTCTCCTTCACTTTTCTCCTCTGCGGCGTCTTCGTCCCCGCACTCACTGGCCAAACTCTGATCCGGGCACTGCAGCCCAGCGCAAGCTCGCTCTCTCTCCAGAACGGCTACGCCAACAGATTGTGCTATACACGTGGTTTCGTTTCGGCGCGAACATGAGCGGCGACTTTTCTGATAGTGACAACGGCACCTCCTCGGCCCCAAACAAGAGGAAGAGGTATATACGGAAGTATAAAATGGAGTGGGAGAAGGACATACAGTTTCGAGGATGGAACAGCAAGAGTACCAAGGGTAATAATTACGTTTTTTGCAAGGCATGCTGTGTGCATTTGACCGCTGGGAAGTGTGACTTGGAGAAACACGCGGCAACAAGAAAACACTGGTCAAACGCAAAGAAGCTGATTGGCCAGCAAACCCTACTCAGCATGCCCTCTACAAGTCAAGCGACACACAAAGGCAACCAGGTCAGTGAGGGTGAAATCAGACTCGCTGCATTCCTAGCTGAGCATAATTTGCCGTTCAGTGTCATGGAGCCTGTGCCGAAACTGTTGGCTGCAGTGTGTCCGCCAATGTTGCAAAAACAAAATAGCATGTAGCCGAACGAAAGCTACAGCTATAGTGAAAAATGTCACGGGTCATCAAAGTAAGGAGGAGCTTTGTGAGCCTTTAAGGAACAACAAGTTTTCGTTGATGGTCGACGAGTCAACAGACGGCAGCTGCTGCAAGCTTCTCTGCTTGGTTACACGTGTGTTCAATGGAGAGCGCGTCGTGGACGCTTTCTTTGACTTGCTTCAGATCCAAGACGCAACCGCACGAACCTTGTATGAGCACATTGTCAAGGCTTTTACGGACTGGCGCATTCCCTGCAAAGAAAACATGATCAGATTCGCGGCTGATGGGGCGAATGTCATGATGGGAACGAGGAACTCAGTCATGACGCTTCTGCGACAGGACATCCCTAAGCTGTTTACCATGAAATGTGTCTGTCATTCTTTCCATCTCTGCGCATCCTATGCCTCTGAGAAGCTGCCACGAGTAGTTGAAGACCAAGTCCGGGACATCCACAACTACTTCCACTCCAGCCCGAAAAGACAGGGAAGACTGAAAGCTTTCCAAGCATTTCTTGAGAGTGAACCTCACAAGCTCCTGCACGCAAGCCAGACTCGATGGCTATCTCTTCATTCCGTTGTCACGAGAGTCCTGGAGCAGTACGAGCCTCTGAAGTACTTCTTCGCCGAAGAAGTAGGAACATCACGCCTGTTGGCGCCACAGACAATCTACAAAGGCTGGAAGACCCGCTTGTTCGGATGTACCTGGAGTTCCTGGAGTTCGTCCTCCCTATTTTTACGAACCTAAACAAGCAGATGCAGTCTGAGGCTCCTCAAATCCACACGCTGAGAAAAACGATCTTTGATGCCTTGAGAACCATCTTGGACTGTTACATGAAGAGTTCCTACTTAATGTCAACGCCAATCGAAGCAGTCGAGTTCAAGAACCCGGCCCATTTCCTCAAAATTGAAGACATGTATCTCGGAGCCAAGGTAACGTGCTCACTTGTCAAGGAAACCAGCCTCTCATCAGCTCACATGGAAGGCTTTCGTCTTAGATGTCTAGATTTTTTTATCGAAAGTGCACAACAGATCCACTCAAGGTTCGCATTCAAAAATGCGGCTACCAAACTTCTGGGGATGCTCGATCCTTGCAACGTATTGGAAAAGAAAACGCCGTCTCTCGCTCCTCTTGCTTCATGCCTCCCAGACATTGTGGACCCAAAAAACCTGCAAGCTCTCGACACAGAATGGCGCTCGTTCCAAAATATCGAACTGGGACCAACGTCTGCTGGTTTCAACCTTGAAAACTTCTGGAGGACTGTCCTCCTGACCAGGCATGGGGACGGCACACCGGCATTCCCCATCTTGTCAAGATTTGTGTTTTCCCTGCTATGTTTGCCGCACTCGAGCGCAGCAGTGGAGAGGGTATTTTCAAGCGTCTCTGTTTTGAAAACGAAGCAGAGGAACAAGCTCAGCGCAGTTACGCTCGCTGGTATCCTCCACACCAGGCGCATGACCGCCCAGTCGGCATGCTTCTCGTTTTCTGTCAGCCGTACACTCTTAAGAGGGGGCGCACCTCAGAGCCCCATAGAGAATACATGAGGTTTTTCACCAAATTAAAAAAATTCTCACATAATAAAGGCTGCGCGGATCTTCTTGAAAATTTCAGCTTTAAAGACATTGAGTCATTATCGAGACACTAAGCGCAACAAATGTTTCATCATAAATTTAATTATATTCTTTAAAAAATCATGAAAATGGTCAAAATTGGCTAATTCGGCACTCTTGCGTTCGGAGCGAATTTACAAAATTATATAAATTTAAACATAAGAGGTATTGCGCTTAGTGTCTTCTAAATTTATTACGGAATCGAATAATATTCAAATTATTCATGTAAGTCGATTTGTTCCGTAACTACAGCAAATATAAAGAACCAATGTGTCAGTGCTTGTTTTCGTCGTTTTTAAGGTACCTCTCTCTCCCGTGCGGTGGCGCTCGCTGTCCACGAAATGCGAAATCGTCCGTTCGGAGATCGGCCGGATCGGCACTGTGCGAGGTGTTCTTCCGCGGCCGTATTCCGCGCCCGTATCCTGTTTCATTCTGCACGCCGAGGCGTCAGTGTGCGTGTCTCGCTTTCCTGGTTCTCGCTGGGTAGGTCTCCGTGTTTTCGCAAGTGGCGAATTCACCTTGGAGCTATGGGTCGAAGACAACCGTCCTGTGGCAAGCGGACCGCGAGGTGTTCCACAACCTCGCGGTCCGTCAACGCGTTGTGCTTGTTTCTACTTTTTTTTTTCTTTTAAAAACGGGCTTTGTTTTTGACGCAAAGTTTTATTTTATCGTTATCCTTCACCCAAACGTCCTTCGGCCTTGGGGTCGTGGAAATCGGGGATGAAGCGTGCACAGAGTAGATCGTTGTTTTCCTCCTTTTTATTTTTCACGGACGTCCTGTGACCTCCGTACGGTTCGTGGTCACCGCAATCTAACGCGGGGAAAAACGGGTCGCCTGCTCTGTAGTCAGGGTATTCCTAGGGGAGGGTGATAACTCGCTGTTCTTCTGGAAATTCACATATCCCCCAAAAAGGTGACATGGGTAATGATTACGGTATTTTTTTTTCCGGTGTTTATTTTTGAGCGAAAATCGGTGCATGTTTTTCGGTGCTTATTTTTTAATCACCAGTGTATTATGGGTTGAACGTCTTGTGATGACGCTAAAAAGCGTTGATAACCAAAGAAAAATGCGATTGGACAAGAACATTTCAAATTTCCAATTCTATTCACATATCCATTACGTTCTTCTCGTGGGAGCATCTACCCTGACGAAAAATGCCTAAGTCATTGAGCTGTGAACGCATACTCAGTGTACAATCTTTCGGCCTAGAGAGGTATTGCGCACGCTCGAACGCGCTTTACAGCCCAGTAGACGAAGTTGGTGGCACCCAGAAGGCGAGTTTTTGAAAGGTCTGTAGTAGGCAAAAGAAACAAATAACAATCAACGCATATCAGCTCTTCAAGCGAAGAGGCGCGTTTCTAAGGTCAATGGTACCGGACGGCACTAATGTCGTTGGCGTTGTCGTAAGGTGACGTCAGTTCATACGAGCTGACGTCATCTTACGTGATCACGTGACACAAACTCATCATCTTACATGATCTCGTTACACGAAATGACGTGATCTTACGTGATCACGCTGCACGAAATGACGCCATCTTACGTGACCACGTAACACGTCATCTTGTAAGTCAACCTCTCCCCACAGCAGCGCGCTTCGCGCTTTCCGGGCCCGTGCAGTGCTGTAGTCGAAAGCAAGCTCCCTATGGCAAGCGAAAGCTTCTGAAATCTCACATTGAGAATACTCGCAAGCGACCGTCTGTGGAAGCTTCGCACGTTGAGGTTTTTGTTGAGATCGAGCCATCGTGTTCCAGTAACTATAGTTGAAGTTATCGTTCAATAAAGCCCTAAAAAATATGAATGTAGTTGGTGTAGACATCAAGATCTAATCAAAAATGCGGTTTGACGTCGTTTAATTAACGTGTATATACAAGTGTAAAAAAAAATGAGTTATTTGTGCATAGATGTTTAAAAAAGTGTTTATTATTCGACACAGGACTTTGGGAGAAGGATGTGTTCAGATTTTTCTTCATGAGCGCAAATATACCTGACGCAATAAATAGTGACGATTTCATCGTCCCAGTGGTGAGCAGGTGATTTCTTGCTCGAAACAATGATGCCATTTCATAAACCAAGTTCTGTGACATATGCTTTTCCAATGCCTGGTCACTATTTTGTAAACCTTTCAGTCCAAACGAGTATACTTCTGTTTGTTTTTGTTAGCTTAGGAGGGGGTCACAGAGCCTATCTTTTTGTCTTCCTCTAGGACAGACGTACAGAGTTATACCGCAACACGCATCTGTGGAGCACACAGAGCTATCGCTCTCCTGTTGGCGGTACAGTAGCAGACGACATAACGCAGCTCCGTAGTCTATCAAGGGCACGGCTAGCCGCGGCCCGTAGCGCGACCGTTCAGACTAGGGAAATGGTTTTGGAGAACCGAGAAATGGTATCTTGTGTACAATAATCACATGTCGTTAGTATACTAGTATTCTACTTGCTAAGCCAAATAAATATTTGCAGCTTGTGAGAATATGTTTGCGTGACGATTTACCGTTCACACTCCTGACGGATGTTAGCGAATCCTTCATGTTCGTGGCTCGCAGTTATCGGTACCCCCTCGGAGTGACTTCACCATATATATTTTTTTCTTGCTTGCAGGACATCATAAAAATCACAAACACGCGAGAAAAAAAAATCTTATGAGTACGCGTGATTTTGAGCTTCGCAGCTCTAAAGATGCCCGGTAAATGTCGTCCAGCTTGGGAAGAAACTAATCCTTTTTGTTGGAGTTTGACTATCGTATGCTGGCAGCTCGTTTCCGGTCTGTTTTGTCTATACTCCGTTTCACCGTAATTTGGCAACCCTCAGTCAGAGCTGCTGTGAGGGAATCACAGTCGCGGAGCAAAGCACGTGACAGCTACTTTTAGGAGCTGTACTATGGCACCTGCAGTGCGTCTCCGACTGGTGTGTTTAGCGTCTTATGCTGGCCATACATCAAAAGTGGTCCCGAAGTGCAACAAATGACGTCACAGAAGACGGAGTGTCACGCTGTTGCATCTCGCGATCCTGGCAATTCATCGTAGAAATGCTGGCGACAACCACGAGGGAACACGAGTGTCGCTGTCGTCATGGCGTCCCAACGAAAAGCAATTATACAATTTCGATGTTTTTGTAATTCGGTAATTTAAATTACTGTATACAATTTTTAAGAAAGTAAAGACATCATAACCAAATAGGAACTTCCGTGCTAAAACATGCAGTGCGAAGTGAAGACAACTACTATCTTTTTTTTTTTTTGATGTCCACAAAAAAAAAAAAGGCTATGCAGCATCGATCGTACCGTTTTTTTTTTGTTGTTTTTTTTTTCGCACATTATGTGATGTCCTCTAACACGAAAGTACCGACGTAAAAGCGCTGTAGAGACGATATAAAAACAAAAATTTAAGTGAATCGAGCTTTGTAGTGGAACGGAAAAAAATAAATAATTAACGACTTTTTACGGTAAACACTTCACCTCTAAGTAGAACTTCAAAAAAGTGACGGTTACGCGCTTTCATGCCCATTTCGACAAAGTTGGTAGAACGATGTATTGCATCTTGTGAATAGACATGTGGAGCAGCATGTTTATGTTAGAGGCATTGTGTGTAATCGCTGCGCAGTATCTGCCAAAAGAAGATATTATTTGGGCACAGACTCAACCGTTTCCGTCTGTGTGTGCTACGAATACAGCAACTCTTTTCGTAGAAGAAGTGATGAGGAGATGGCGTGCCCTTGATGATACGATTGTGATTATGAAATAAAATTTTTAATCAGCCAATAATTGCGACCTCTCCGGTCGCATGGAACCCCGACAACAACTATCGTTCTCTGGAAAGTTCATTCTAATATTTACACGTTTTGTGGAGTTCATCGAGCGAATAAGAATGTTCCAACAATGAGCTAAACCTACACGAGTTCCCGAATCCAACAACTTTTGAATTTTAGCGCCGTAGATAGTTCTGCGAACAGTGTATACTTCTGTGCAAATATTCGTCTAACAGTTTTGCAACGTTGGAAAGCATCGGAATGATTCAGAATCACTGCGGAGTTGATACTCGGGAAGATGAGACGGGCACTTGGGAGAAACGGACCGTGGCATTTGAGACAGGGGCACAACCGGGGGACAAACGTGCTACAATCGCATACCCTTCCAAGGTCATCGCTTGGGCGACCGCGCGCGCGCCCAAGAAACCTTTCTTTTCTTCTTTTAGGGGTGGTGGTGGGGGGGGGGGGATGAGGGGAGTGGTGTAGGCGCTGATTGTCTTCCTCCTTTGTGGCTTTTGACAGACGCACAACGAGATTGGCAGAACAAGCGCATGATTCATTTCTTTCGATGGAGGCGTTCTGTCTGTGTATGCGAACATGATTTTTTTCCCCTTTTAGTAGTTAGTAGTT